CCCCCCCCTCCCCCCCACACGAGTTCCTTGCCAGCATCCTGCACTGCGGGGTACCCCTGCCCATTGCGGGGCGTGCAGGAGGCCTGGGCACCCCTGTGTGGGGACACCCAGGGCTGCGCATATTGCCAGGGGGTGGCAGCAACACACCGAGCATGGCTGAGCACTCCCTGTGTGTGCCAGAGGCGGACCCCCAAACTCCGGCCTGGCTCACAGTCCAGTTGCCCCCTCCAGCATCCCCAGGGTGTTGTACTGGAGGGACGTGACCCACTGAGCAGGGACCAGTGGGCGAGGGAAGGGTAGCATAGGGCCCAGGGCTGTTTTTCAGGTGCCAGCCCCACTGTTCTCCGGGGTACTCACTGGGACCCTGGTGCAATCCAGGCTGGGGGGCCCTGACACAGCGGTGTCCCCTGCTGGGGTGCTCTCAGGGTCACTGCAGGGTGACACAAAGGGTTCACCCTGGCTTTAACCCACCTGCCTGGCCCCACCTGCCCCTGCTGAGACCTGGCATGTTCAGTGCAGGCCGTTAGACAGCTGGGGCTGTGCTCACCAGCCGGTGAGGCAGCCCCCCAGGGGAGCTGCTGCCCGTGGCCCCTGCCAGCCGGCAGCACCGTCTGTCTGTCCGTCTGCTCTGGCAGGACCGGGGCACAGCTGAGCCCCGACCCCAGGCACAGGCGGGCACGGCCCTGCACGGGTGTCCCAGGCACACAGCCACCCATGTGGCCAGCTGGTGGAGGGCAGGGGGGCAGGTTTCCAGATGCCCCCCAAATGCCATGGGGCTGGGGTTGCAGCAGGAAGCTGGCATGGCCTTGAGCCCCTCGGGGCTGGTTGTGCAGCATGGACACACTGCCAAGCCCCCTCCTCAGCCCTGTGCCCAGGCAGCCCATGGGGTAGGATTGGCTGGGGAGAAGGGGGTGGCCCTGCTTAAATCCAGCTGGGATTGGCACAGGACAGAGCACCTTGCCTTTTCTTGCACCACATTCCCATTTGCCCTGGCTCTGCCTGTGAGCCCAATGCCTTGCCAACCATGTGCTGTGCCATGCAGTGCTATGCCATGCGGTACCATTCTGAGCCACAGAAGTGTGGGTGGCCAGAGGACCCATGTGCCTGGCTAATGCCAGTGCTGTGCTGCTGGGGGTGAGCAGATGGTCCTGGGCTGGGTTCTGGTGGCTGCTGCACTGGGGGGTCAGCACTGCCTTCGATGCCCGTTTGCCAGCCAGGTGCCTGGCGTCGCCTCCTTATCTGGGATTAAACAAACCCTCCCCAGATCTGGTGCCAGGCGCTGTCACTGTGCCCGTGGCACCAGCCATTCCCCACCCTGGGTCTCCCCCATGCCCGCTACTTCCCTCCATGCAGGGCTGTGAGGGGACCATACAGACCATGAATCCCTGGGGGTGAAGAGCCCCCCGAAAATTGACCTCAGGCTCCTCTTGCTCTGTTCATGCTGTAGCCCCTGGGGTCTCTGCACATCAGAGTTACCAGGGCAGGCATACTTGGGAGGGAGCACCCAACTGGTGCCCCCCAGGCAGGGCACAGGATGATACCAGCTCTGCTCTTGCCTTGGGGCACCCCCAAAACATCACAGCAAAAAAATGGAACCCACTGGGAGGTCCCCCTGTCCCGTCACAGCTGTGGCAGTGCCCATGCCCCTGGTGTGGTGAATCCTGGCAGTCCCCAGTGCCCACAGTGCCAGGCTCCCCAGAGCGAGGTGCAGCCCCCCCGCCTTGTTAGCTGCTTGGCTCTTATCTCCTGCTGATAAATTATCCGACAGAAGCGCCTTTGAAAGGCAGCCAGGCCTCCATCCGGTGGGCGGCCTTTAGGGGCCCAACTGCAGCCATTTGTGGGCTGCCTCTGGCTGCCTTTGCCGGGGATGGGGGATGTGATTTTGGGGCACTGCCCGGATGAGAGGGTACTGGGGACAGGCTCCCGGGCTGCAATATGGGCACAAAGGCAGAGGCAGAGGAGCAGCGAGGCTGGGAAACCTGCCTGCACCCCTGACTGTACCCCATGCCCATAACCACTGCTTGCAACCCTGCCTGCATCACCACGCCTCCCTGCCT